GAGATATTTTAGTTCAAAGTTTTAAAAAAATTTACTTAGAAACAAGATGCTTGGTTTCTACTGGCACCCCCCCATATTCAGATATGTTTAGGGTAAAGTTGCGAAAGCAACCGGGTTGGTATATTTTAGAAACCAACGTCATTCTATTACCTTTACAAAAATGCTGAAATGATTGATAGAGAATCAGGTTAGACCGGTTTGATAAGATCAACAAAAGTTAGAAGAATTATTACTTACATCAGTTAAATCATTTTCTTGCAATACCACATAAGATTCATCAAGTATCTCGGTAGAAGGTTCATCTAGCTTTGAGAAAATTGAGGTAATAGACATTGTTATCATCTCCTTTGAAACACTCATTGAAGTTGTAGCTATGATATTTTTGAACAGATAACTTCTATATTATATCTTATACACATCAAATTATTCAGGATTTCATTTATACTATTAGAACCACTATTAAAGCTAACAGATAGTAAAACAAGATCTCAACAGATTGGAAGCTATCTTGTTTTTTTCTATATTGTTATTTTTGCTGTATTAAAGTTTTATATATCGATATTTACTTTATTATATTAAACATCGGGTACCAAACTCCACTATTTGAAAAGCGAAGAATACTGTTTATTAATAAATTTTTATGAATCTATGTAAGATCCTAAAATTCATACAAAAATCTGAGAGCAAATATATATATATATAATATATATAAATATTCACAGTGGGGACAGATATTGCTGTTAAAAATGATTGTTCATTCTAGAAGAATAGTTTACATTGGAAGCATGACTAGGAAATTATTGCTGCTGAACTGTTGCCACAATTCCTTGGTTCATGTTAGTGTTATGAGCTTCAGGCATAGCGTATTGAGATCTTAGAGAATGTTAAGGTATAACATTGTTATTAGCATACGGTTGTTGATAAATTGGCTATGGATTATAATTTTGCATATTTTGCATAAGATTTGGATCAGTACTAGAACGATTATACCCAAACTTGGATTAAATCCTCCTGGTTGATGGTACACTATTTTGAAAAAATCATTTATTAGCATTATTGCTTTGTTAATTAAAGAGAGTCTTTCGTAATATATATCAATTATAAACGATACTTTATCAAAGATTCATACCTGATTGCTAATATATTTAAAAATGAAAAGATAAAAATAATGGCCTAGTTTGTCTTTAAGCTTTTTCAAGTTCTTGGACTAATTGTCATTTTTCAGCTTTCTTTTTTTCTATGATTTCCATTTTTTCAGCTTCTTTCCTTTCAATGAGTTCCAGCATTTCACTATTCATCCTTTCAATGATTCTAAGTTTTCTTTGTCATTTTTTTCATTCAATTTTTTGATGGCTTTTTTCTTCATTTCGTGTTTGACTCTTTTAATCTCTGTTCGTTTCTCAATTTCACTTTTGATATAAAGTTTAAATATGTTTAAATTTATCCTTTTGTCTAGTACGTCTAATTTGTAAATTAAATTAGTAATGGTGCAGAGATTAAATAAGTGAAAACATAAGAACTGATTTTACACAAATAAAATTTGTAAAATACCCTTTAATCCTTTCTTCGTCGTTCATTTCATTACTTTCTTCACTCATTTCGTCATTACTTTCATCAGTTATTTCATTGTTTCTTTGAATATTTTCTTTATTTCTCTATAATAACAAAAAAAAAATTAATAATATGTTATATTCATTAAGCAATAATAAAAATGCAACAAGCTTCTTTATAAGAACAACCAATTCCTTCTTTAGAATTAGTAGCCTTAAATAAAGAAGCTTTATCTTCACCTTTGTGTGCATAGAACAAACAACTTTCATTAAATTACTTAGACAGTATCTAGCGATAATCATAGATGATATCACAAAGTATTTTGTGTTCATAGAATAACACAGATGGCTATTCCAGAGATAATTATCCTCGTAGATATGATATCATAAAATACTACTTCGTGTATATAAAGTAACTCAAGCAGTTATTTCAGCGATAATCATTTTCGTAAGTATAATATCACAAAGTATTTCATGTGTATAGAATACAATATTCTAGCGATAATCTTCTATAATATCATGAAGTGCTACTTCATGTGTGTAGATGCACTGACCTTACAAAATAACTTCAGTTGAATCTAGCAATAACACAAAAGTTGCCTTGTAAAATAATTCTCAGCAAAAAAACTAAATAAAACCAAGAGAACTTTTGTAGGGCTGAAGATGTTGATTCTTAATTAGAAAATATCCTTGCCTCGTCTGATTCATTTTTTTTTTTTTCGGTATTAAGATGAGGTCTTGCCTCATATCTTTTATTAGATGTTAAGTTTTTGTCTTATATGGCTACAAATAATCTTAAGAATACTGGCTTAGACAATTTTAT